ATTTGATGAATTTCTTTGAGTTTAAAGAAAGAAATTAAATTTTACTTATTCCTCTATGTGATCATTAGAAAAGCTTTTAATGAACACTCTAAAACCCAACTAATTATCACAATGGCATTTAACTCTAAATAAAATTGACAGGAAGCAAGAATATGATACATATAATTTTGCACAGTTTATTAAAACACATTTATCACTTTTTCTCCTAGAGTAACCTGATCGTATTATTCTATGATAATTTAGCTAATATTTTTTCTCTGTGTTTAATATTTAAGTGGAGTTTACTGATATTAAAGTCATAATGCATTTTATGGAAATTACCTTGCATTCTAATTACTTTTCTTGGTGAGAAATGGTAAATAGAATTATCTTGTTATGCTTGTTGTAGATGAAAGCAAAGCAATATTTAATGATAAGAGATTTCTAACAGGAAGAATTTCATATTCACTTTTTTTTAAATGGAGTCTATTCTACCATCAATGCACATGTGCACATCTTCTGTAACTACTAATGGGAATTACACATATGTAGCAACAACAGAAAAGACCCAGAATAGCAAGTTGGATGCTTTTTCCTCAGTATTTCTCCTCTTGCGTATGGTTTAGCTGTCCAAATCCAGTCTGAGGAGAGCAGGAACTTGTAAGCTACTTGTGGTAAGCAAGAAATACCAACAACAATGACCTGGAGCTAAAGCTACATTGCACTTTTAGTAAATTAAATCACTTTTAGTAAGCTGAAAATTGCACCTACAAAAGAGGAGAGGCTTGGTCAAGGCCCCTTTAAATGTCAGCCCCTAAATATACTTTTCTGATATTTTTACATTAAATATATTTACTGCCATAAACAATTAAAGGACTGATCTAATTTACATGCAAAAGGCCAAATTCTACCTTCAGTTATAGTGGTGAAATCCCATTGAAGCCAAGACGGGATTGCATTGGTATGACAGAGAATGTGGGGGTGGAAGGTAGTGGGAATTAATCACTTTAAAGATTTGGGTTTGATTCAGGTTTAGTGTGAAATTCAGAGTCAGTTCTTTTCTGAGCTGGCTCATCTATCTCTATTGCACACCAAGATGTCTTTGCTAGGATATGAATGGAGACTCTCCTGAAAAATCACTCTGGACTGATGGGAGGAACCCCCTTTTTAAACATCTGGGGACAGATCCTCCACTTGTGTATGTTGTCATAGCTTCATTGCCTCGGTTTCTTTGGCTTCACTGAAGCTATAACAATTCACACCAGCGGAGGATCTGCCCCCAGGCAGGGGTGCTGAAACTATGGGTCCTGGGGGTCTGGCAGCACCCTCTGACTTGCAATGATTTCCATCATATACAGGGTTTACAGTTTTGTTCAATGGCTTTCCGCACCCCTGCTATAAAATACCACTATCCCCAGGAGCAATAGGAATGTCACAAGTAGAACAGAAAATGAAGCAAAATAAACTAAAAAGAAAGAAAGAAAGAAAGAAATATTAATACCACTGTATGAGAAGATTATGTGCACTCATGTTTCTCCACCTCCACTGAAAACCTTTCATTTGCTTTGGCTTTCATTTCATAACACTCTATATTTATTGCAAGGAACTTGGGTGTTCAGATAGTGAGTGATCCTTAAATCCTTTAGGATCCATCTGTACTGGGTTACAACCACTCTACATGGACTGGTTTCAGAGGAACAGCCGTGTTAGTCTGTATTCGCAAAAAGAAAAGGAGTACTTGTGGCACCTTAGAGACTAACCAATTTATTTGAGCATGAGCTTTCGTGAGCTACAGCTCACTTCATCAGATGTATACCGTGGAAACTGCAGCAGACTTTATATACACACAGAGAATATGAAACAATACCTCCTCCCACCCCACTGTCCTGCTGGTAATAGCTTATCTAAAGTGATCAACAGGTGGGCCATTTCCAGCACAAAGCCAGGTTTTCTCACCCTCCACCCCCCACACAAATTCACTCTCCTGCTGGTGCTAGCCCATCCAAAGTGACAACTCTTTACATAATCAAGTCGGGCTATTTCCTGCATAGATCCAGGTTTTCTCACATCCCCCCCACCCCCATACACACACAAACTCACTCTCCTGCTGGTAATAGCTCATCTAAACTGACCACTCTCCAAGTTTAAATCCAAGTTAAACCAGAACATCTGGGGGGGGGGGGGGTAGGAAAAAACAAGAGGAAACAGGCTACCTTGCATAATGACTTAGCCACTCCCAGTCTCTATTTAAGCCTAAATTAATAGTATCCAATTTGCAAATGAATTCCAGCGAGAAACTGCTGAATTGGAATTCATTTGCAAATTGGATACTATTAATTTAGGCTTAAATAGAGACTGGGAGTGGCTAAGTCATTATGCAAGGTAGCCTGTTTCCTCTTGTTTTTTCCTACCCCCCCCCCCCCCAGATGTTCTGGTTTAACTTGGATTTAAACTTGGAGAGTGGTCAGTTTAGATGAGCTATTACCAGCAGGAGAGTGAGTTTGTGTGTGTATGGGGGTGGGGGGGGATGTGAGAAAACCTGGATCTATGCAGGAAATAGCCCGACTTGATTATGTAAAGAGTTGTCACTTTGGATGGGCTAGCACCAGCAGGAGAGTGAATTTGTGTGGGGGGGTGGAGGGTGAGAAAACCTGGCTTTGTGCTGGAAATGGCCCACCTGTTGATCACTTTAGATAAGCTATTACCAGCAGGACAGTGGGGTGGGAGGAGGTATTGTTTCATATTCTCTGTGTGTATATAAAGTCTGCTGCAGTTTCCACGGTATACATCTGATGAAGTGAGCTGTAGCTCACGAAAGCTCATGCTCAAATAAATTGGTTAGTCTCTAAGGTGCCACAAGTACTCCTTTTCTTTCTACATGGACTGTATTTTAACATGCTTTTCATACAAATGTTAATCATGGTGAAAACCAATTCCAGTAACGTGTTCTTTTCTTAGCGTGGATGGTGCTTCATTTGTAACTAGAGATGGCTCCAGAGCAAAAACCCTGAATCTGGATGCAGACCTAAACATCACAAACTTTTGGGCCCATTGGTGCATGAGGAAATCAAGATATTACACTGCATTTTCTTGTTTGACCAAAATACCATGGAATACGGTGTTCTCATGAAATTATATTGTCAACAGCACAGTTCTGAGCCCCAGCGGCTTCCCAAAAGGCAATCCGGGGGGCATGAGGCACTGAAAAATTCATTATAAACTAAAGCAAAGAAAATCTCACTCCCCCGTATTCTTACTCTGCAAGGTCATATCCTCTTGAAACCCACAAATATATTAGAAAGGTTTATTACTGGTACATTTTTTAACTTTTGTAGTAAATGTAAGGGTATCAGGAAAAGTTTTGACTTCTAATAAGATGTCGTTAATCTGAAATGGTTGAGAAATATTGGTATAGGGCATAACAGAGTTACCCAATCAATGCTCCATCTGCTTGGCCCAGTTATAGTCAAGACAGTCTCAGTGGTGTCCATCATAGTTATAAAAACAAATAATTACAATAATATTTCACTGTTGTGCAGAGGATCAGATTATCAGAGCAGCATCTTTGGAAAGGTCAATGTCTCATATAAAATACTGGGGGCAGGGGCTGTGGGGGGAATAAAACCAACGTGGAATTAATATTTACTGCCAATGCACTAAACCATTCTGAGTCTAAGCTGCACATTTCTCCTTGTAATAGAACATGTTTCTAAAATGGATTAAATCCTGATTTGATTTTACTACTGTACATATTAAAAATGAATTTAATTTTAAGTGACAAAATAAAATGTAGCATATGACATACTGTCTGATATATGGAAGTTTCACTTGCGATCCCACATGAGATATATCTTGTTTGTAAAAAATGTCTGTGTTGCCTACTTTGGCTAAACAAAAGCATATAGTCCTAGCACCTGAGATGGGACTCAAACTGCGGGCTAAAAATAGCCATGTAGACAACCAGGGTCTGACTGGAGTCCAGGCTCTGAAACCACTGAGGCCAGTGGCTTTCGGACCCTGGGCTCCAGGCTGAACGGGAATGTCTATTTTTAGTCCCATAAGGTGAGCCCCATGAAACCAAGTCAGCTGACCCTGGTTCTGAGATTCACTGCTGCAGGGGGCGGGGCTTGCTGTGTTGAAGTACTCCAACAGTCCTTTAACTTAACCAAACATTAACTAATCTGAAAGAACCTCACCAGGAGAGACAAAAGTGAGCTGAAAGGATTCCCATTCATCTTACAGCACACTTCCTCTCCATTCTCGTGATCCAACTTATTTACATAGTACAGAAGCAGGAGCATAGTATAGGGAATGCGTCTGAGGGCCCATAAAAGTCATGGGAAGTTTTGCCATTGACTGCTAAAGCAGCAAGGTCAGGCTGTGAGAAGAAGATTGTCATGTAGCTTTGTATCAAAGGCAAAGTCTTATTTTGGAGGTCACCGTATGTCTCTAATTGAGAGCAAATACATACGTAATAACATTAACCAAATGATTGGGTTTTGGGCATTATTCTCTAGAATCCTTTAGAGAGTTTTAATGTGCTGACTTCAGCAAAGCAGAATCCTCTCAGGGCATCCTGACCATGGTGACCTCTTTCCTCTCAAATTATGTTATTCCTGAATAACAATTATGGAAATTAACTTATCAGTGCAAATTGATACATGGGGCTGGTGCTGCAGAATGAACTACTCTATAGTATTTTATTTATTTATTCTCCTTTGTAAGCCCATCATAGTGCAACAAAGAGGGATTGACGCTTTCATTGATGTACAGGTACATTGAGGTTATGGGTACACAGAAGCATCCAGCTGCATGAGTTTTGCATGGGAAACACCAGGGAATGTTTAAATGTTACAGGGGACCAGAGCCGGTGGAAAAAATGGTAAACATTTTTCATTAACAAGAAAATCAAGAAATTAGAAATCATTTTCCTTCTTCAGGTTTGGAAAAGGAATGATATTTTTATTGATTCAAAATTTTTTGTGAACATTTTAAAGAAAATAAATCAGTTTTTCAGTGGTCAGGTTTTTTCACTCTTTCTTTCCCTCTTCCAACTTCTTTTCCATTTGGTTACTCAACACCTAGGGAAGGAGGAAGAAAGAAGAACAGTGGGGCAAGGGAAAAATTAAAAAGTGAAACTTGAAAAATGAAAAATGTCAGAGTTTGGTCAAAGAAAGGAAAATGCTGAATGAAGCCTGAGGCCTGCTGCCCAGAAGATTTTATTCTTGTCCAAAAGCAGGTGGGAGGATCCCGGTGCAGATAGCATTATACAACTAACAGCTAAAGGAGATTCTCCTTAGAGGTACACTGATAAGTACGTGTGCTTTTGGAGGATCTGGTTCTGGTTCTAATCTTGTTGCAGTGAAGTCCTAAGTGTCCATACTGTGCAGCACAGAGACCACTGTGAAGCTCAAGGCAGTCATAGACATGTTACAAAATCATTATCTGCATTTTACAGCTAATGGAAAAGCTGAGGCACAGAATGAGTGTTAGGCCGCAAAGCATGCAAAAGGACACTGATCTCTTGACTGTGATTCCTGTGCTTTAACCATGTGTCTTTTAACCACACAGTGTCAACTTTAACACAGATATGCAACTGCAGCCTTCGCAGTTCTTCAGACTTACCTTTTTGGCCTTCCTGCAAGCTACACACAGAGAAGGCAAAATGCTGGGAACATTCATTCAAAAACATTTTTGCAAACTGTAAATCATGTTTCAATTCATGGCCATGCCCCTTTTTGATCACACATCGACATGTGTTCGAGGGTGACGTGTTTTTGTTTGTTTGCTTTTGCACATGTTTGGAGAATGGGCTTTTGGTTGCATGAATAGCCCTGTTCACACATGACTAGGAAAGTGTCTGCAAGAATTCATTCCTCCTTTTGCAAAGTTCAGGTCTGGTAGCAAAAACTAGAAACAATGACATGCTATTTACATGGCCAATCACACACCATGAATAATAAATATGAAATAGGCATAGTAGTGAATAGTTTGGTAGCAACCCTTAGGCTGCAATGTGTTCACGTCAGCTGTTTGACAAACAATTACACACAATGAGTAAATTGGTTAAAATCAAAGTCTGTTCATATGGTTAGAAAAAAGGAGCTAAATTTGTCAGGGAACACTGTAAATAGTTGACTCAACTTCATGCGTGATAACGCATGGCTGGAAGAACAGTTCTGAATTATAGGTCTCAAAAGTACAGTTAAAAATCTCATCTAAAATTTTATGATGTCAAAATTGTGCTTTTTTTTTACGCCCTGAGTTTACAATAAAATGTTTCTCTTTCTTTTTTCAGATTGCCCATTAAAAATCCTCAAACTTCAGAAAATTAAATCTTTACAGTAACTTAACAAAGAAGGACTGGCAAGACTAATGAAAACGAGGGGAGACCAAATCCTTGTAATATGTCAATGGAGCACCGTGCTCTATTTTTTTTACTCTCTTTTGCATACGTTTTGGGACCTGAGTCTATTCGTGCACATTTGGAGTTTGATTTTCTCTGTGATTTTTACCTGATTTTGTCCAAGTGCTCCCCCGACCACTGTCGTTCTGATCATCTCTCCCAGGTGAGCTCTGCTCAGTGCCAAAACAGGGTGATAGGAAAAAGTATTCTGGGCCTGGCCGAGACTGGGTCTGCTGCAGATAAAAATTGTAGCAGCCTTTCAGAGTCCTTCTGCACCTGGCTTCCTGTGGCCCCAAAGGGCCATTGCAGTAGCTGAGAATAACTGGAGTGCAGCATTCATGCACTTTCTCCTGGCCATTCCCCCTGCATTAGGGTGGCATAGAGATGCACTGAGGGAATTCCAGGGAGGTCCGATATGCCAGTGTTACAGCCCCATTGTGTTACTGGCATGGTGTAAATGGGTTGTATCACAACAGAGAATCAGGTCCTGTATATTTGTCATGGCCACCATGTAGGCTGACACACCGGGGATCTTCAGAGACAAAAATCAGGAGTTTCTACCACTTCCACTAAAGACTGAGGCTCGATGCCTGGTGGCTGTAACAGACGCCTGTCCTGCGCGAATCAGGCATAGCGGCAGATGTACAATACACACTGAGTAGTGGGTTACATGTTGAAGTTGTGTGCTGGTTTGGGTGTGTTACACATCACAGTCAGAAAGAAACTAGAAAGTTTCTAGGGATGGGTAAGTTGCTGGTATGTGGCTCAGCACCACAGCAAGGGAACCGACTGTCTGTCCCTGCACATATTCCCTTTCCCTCACACCAGGGAAGTGACTCTGAAAGCTTATGCTCAAATACATTGGTTAGTCTCTAAGGTGCCACAAGTCCTCCTTTTCTTGAAACATCTCTGTGTATGCCTTTTACTATCCTTGGTGTGCAGGGCTTGATAAAGGAAGGGCTCCCACAAAGATCAAAGAGTGGCCTCTGATGTTTTGATAGGTTGGGGCTTGGAAGCAGTTCTGTGAGCAAAGAGGGTGAATACTGTTCTTTCCCCCTCCTGTATACCAGGGAGCCTCATCACAGGCATACGCCATTCACACACATTCCCCAAACTCTCCAAGAGGTTTCTCTAGTTAGCAAAGGGTTAAATCCTCTCTTTTGTCTCTTTTTTATCGCTGATTCTGTGCTGATTTGATAGAAGAGTTAGAAGATTCGCTCACCAACCCTGCGGTGCATAGCTGAGGTAGATTTCTTGTCACACCTTCACATTCCCCAAGCCCTCATCCCAGGGCTTAGGAAACAGTGAGGGTCTCCCAGAAACCTGGCAGCTTGGGTCAATGACAATCACATTCCTAACTTAACAGCTGACAGGTGTGCTCTGTTAGCCTGGGCAAGCTGTTGGTAATTTCAGTGTGGCCTGCTGGGCTGGAGGCTAGGAAAGCAAACCCAGTCTTTCCAGTGCCCTGGGATGAAAGAAAAAGTTGTCAGAAGAAAGCTGCCTCCCCTTTACTGTAGCATCCCATTTACTGTAGCATCTCCCCATCTTTCATGCTATCCTCACAGCATCTTGTGAGGTATGGAAGGATCAGGTCCCCTGCTCTTTTTGTAACAGGGTTGGCTTGACTGAAACCCAAACAAACTTACAGGTCTGAGATAGGAAGAAGGAAGTGGTAAATTTCTATTAGCCCTCCCCCCCCCCCCAACTCAGGCAGCTGGAGGGGCGCCAACTCCTGCTGAATGTCAGTGGTGGGTTGGGCTGAAGGCAGACTCCATCTCTTTCTCCTTCAAACACCTGGAAGAAGGGTGGAGCTATGAACCCTATATATATAGTGACCCTTTTTGTGCTCCCCTTTGATAGAGGGAAGAGAGGGAGCTAGCTGATCTAGCATAGGGAGAGGCTAATAGACACAAAGACACGTGCTGTTGCTAGTAGGTACTTGTGCCCCTCATATCTACATAGTAAGGGCTAGGAGTTATATTAGCTTTAGCTTTTGTTAAAGTGTGAATTTCTCTAGGTGTTTGAGTTGTTTCCTAGAGGGCAACAGAGCTGAATAAAGCCATACACAACCCTTAGAGTGAATCTCATGTCAGTGACTGAATTCTACACAGTGCTTACCTGTGAACCTCGTTAATGGATTTGATACTAAATGTAAATTATTGCTGATCTAAGAAAGTGGAAGACATTTTAGCAATCAATGAGAGTGAGCATGGGATGCCTATTTCTTCTCACTGCTAAAAGGAGAGCGAAGAATGTGTCTATGGATGATCTCTTGATCTGTAAATCCCTGTCTCTAAGGGAATAGAACTCACTGGGGGAAAAATTACTTTGAACTGAAAGAAGGGGTAAAATATATTCATGTTGGGAGCATCTTTCGTAACCAAATATTTAAGAGTTGGTTTAAAATTATCCAAGTGCCAAATGTTTGGCTTTGGTTGTGTTTGTACATTTGTGGACACACTCCCAAACAATTTTAACTTTAGGAAAAAACAAAATTCTAGCAAGCGATTTGTTCATATGGTCTGTCTGCTTTTGGTAATTTAAAAAAAGTGATTAAGAAAGGCAAGACACACATCCTTGAAATGCTGCTGCTGGGGTATGCACAATAATGCACGATTTATAATCTTCCAGCAGAGGGATTGATTGATTTTTAAGAGAGTTGTCATTATGGTGTTATACAATGGAGAAAGCAGCACAGTGCAGTAATAATAAACCTGCCATGTTTGAGTGATACTGCCACAAAATCTTTCTGCAACAGGTCATCTTTAACCACTTTGCAGAATCCTCCATCTTCAAGTCAGAGTTGCTACTGATGGGCTAGCGCTTCCCTACAACACCAAGCCCAAATGGTCAGGTGTGGTTCAGGGAGTTGGATGAGCTGGGGAGAACTGAATGCTACCCCCACCCATACTGCATTGTAGTAACAACTGTAGCCCTTGGAGCGAAATAGCTCCTCAGGCTTCCGTGTTCCTGCTTTCATAGAAAATTGTTATGCATAGAGGCCAATCCAGAAGCTGCATCCTCTGTTCCTCCTCTGGTGCATTTCTTCCCTTTCAAACACTTCTGAGATCCCCACCTAGCTGGGTTCCCTAAATGTTTTTCTCTCCACTCCATACATCTTCGGAAGGTTGTGAAGCAGTTAGCATCCTTTAGCCCATGGGAAAGGAGGCAGGATTTGCTCAGGTATTGTTACCTGCACATTCAAGGGAAGCCCACCTTTACCCTTCTGTGGGCTCAAGGTGTAACCTGGTTAATTTAGGCATCCTCACCCTTTCCCAATTCCTAGGGGTCTGGACGAAAGGCACCTACCCTTACCCAATTCCTAGGGATCAGGGCGTAATCTTCTGTGGGTTTGCAGGGCCTTTTACCAGTGAAAGAGCCTTACACAGTAATATTCTAAATCTCTATTTATGAACAGTTACCAAAACAGAATACACATGCTAAGCACACAATGCTCACCACTCCCAGTGAGGCAGATGAACTTTTCATGGTGGCTAGTCAGGATCAGGTCATCCAGGACTCCTCCAGCTTCTGCGCGGTATGGTTGGCAAGGTGTTGCGGTCTGGCAGCTCTGATCTTGGGCTGTGTTCTGGAGTTAGGTTCCAAAGAACTTCCTTTTGGACCCCAGTTTATATAGTTAAACTCAAGTCCTGCTTGACTATACCTTAACCAATTACTTTAAAGTACTACAAAATAACTCTATGACCAACCCTAACATATTGCAAAACAATTCTTCAACCAATCAGACCCCAACACCTTAGTTGATTTAAATCTTGCAAAATTGATTGTTCCTATCTGTTGCATACCTAAAGAACCAGACAGAAACCATATAGATAAACAGCGACCATAAATGCAAAACAGTAAAGAAGTATAGATTTCAGAATCACAACTGTTGATAAGTGTTTCCTTGCCAGACAGAACGCTATAAAACAAAGTTTTCTTTAGACATCTTAAGCCAAGGAATGTGTGGGCCCCTTACTGAATGAGGGAGGCAAACTAGTGACAGAGGATGTGGAAAAAGCTAATGTACTCAATGCTTTTTTTGCCTCTGTTTTCACTAACAAGGTTAGCTCCCAGACTGCTACGCTGGGTATCACAAAATGGGGAAGAGATGGACAGCCCTCTGTGGAGATAGAGGTGGTTAGGGACTATTTAGAAAAGCTGGACGTGCACAAGTCCATGGGGCTGGACGAGTTGCATCCGAGAGTGCTGAAGGAACTGGCGGCTGTGATTGCAGAGCCATTGGCCATTATCTTTGAAAACTCGTGGCGAACCGGGGAAGTCCCGGATGACCTGGAAAAAGGCTAATGTAGTGCCAATCTTTAAAAAAGGGAAGAAGGAGGATCCTGGGAACTACAGGCCAGTCAGCCTCACTTCAGTCCCTGGAAAAATCATGGAGCAGGTCCTCAAAGAATCAATCCTGAAGCACTTGCATGAGAGGAAAGTGATCAGGAACAGCCAGCATGGATTCACCAAGGGAAGGTCATGCCTGACTAATCTAATCACCTTCTATGATGAGATTACTGGTTCTGTGGATGAAGGGAAAGCAGTGGATGTATTGTTTCTTGACTTTAGCAAAGCTTTTGACACGGTCTCCCACAGTATTCTTGTCAGCAAGTTAAGGAAGTATGGGCTGCATGAATGCACTACAAGGTGGGTAGAAAGCTGGCTAGATTGTCGGGCTCAACGGGTAGTTATCAATGGCTCCATGTCTAGTTGGCAGCCGGTATCAAGTGGAGTGCCCCAAGGGTCGGTCCTGGGGCCGGTTTTGTTCAATATCTTCATAAATGATCTGGAGGATGGTGTGGATTGCACTCTCAGCAAATTTGCGGATGATACTAAACTGGGAGGAGTGGTAGATACGCTGGAGGGGAGGGATAGGATACAGAAGGACCTAGACAAATTGGAGGATTGGGCCAAAAGAAATCTGATGAGGTTCAATAAGGATAAGTGCAGGGTCCTGCACTTAGGACGGAAGAACCCAATGCACAGCTACAGACTAGGGACCGAATGGCTAGGCAGCAGTTCTGCGGAAAAGGACCTAGGGGTGATAGTGGACGAGAAGCTGGATATGAGTCAGCAGTGTGCCCTTGTTGCCAAGAAGGCCAATGGCATTTTGGGATGTATAAGTAGGGGCATAGTGAGCAGATCGAGGGACGTGATCGTTCCCCTCTATTCGACATTGGTGAGGCCTCATCTGGAGTACTGTGTCCAGTTTTGGGCCCCACACTTCAAGAAGGATGTGGATAAATTGGAGAGAGTCCAGCGAAGGGCAACAAAAATGATTAGGGGTCTGGAACACATGAGTTATGAGGAGAGGCTGAGGGAGCTGGGATTGTTTAGCCTGCAGAAGAGAAGAATGAGGGGGATTTGATAGCTGCTTTCAACTACCTGAAAGGGGGTTCCAAAGAGGATGGCTCTAGACTGTTCTCAATGGTATCAGATGACAGAACGAGGAGTAATGGTCTCAAGCTGCAGTGGGGGAGGTTTAGATTGGATATTAGGAAAAACTTTTTCACTAAGAGGGTGGTGAAACACTGGAAAGCGTTACCTAGGGAGGTGGTAGAATCTCCTTCCTTAGAGGTTTTTAAGGTCAGGCTTGACAAAGCCCTGGCTGGGATGATTTAACTGGGAATTGGTCCTGCTTCGAGCAGGGGGTTGGACTAGATGACCTTCTGGGGTCCCTTCCAACCCTTATATTCTATGATTCTATGATCTGTTTCTTTATCTGGCGATGGTGGGCACTATTAGGAAAGGAGTGCCTTCTTAACAGCCCAGTATTTCATTGTTTTAATGTAATTTGGATGGAATGTGAGGATTTGACTTTCTGCTTTTTAGCTCATGGCTGCTGCTGTCCTAATGTGGCTGCAGAAAAAGGCCTCGGGACCTCACAGTATGCTCTGCTCTCTGTGGTAACAAAGAGTCAAAACGAGTCTTTTCAAACCATATATGGCAGGTCTAGAAAGTGAGCCAATGGGAGCCATCTCTGGGCTAAGACAGTAGAAGCTGTGCTAAGCTTGTTTCAGTGGAAAGTTGTCTCTTTCACTTGTTATCCAGTGTTTAGATACATACTCTACTGAAGATTTATCCACACAAATAAGAATATAGACGTGTGTAAACTAGTTTAGTTATAATAAGAATCAAACACAACCTGATGCTTAAACTCGTGGTTTCATGCACACATTTTGGCTAATTTTTTAAAACTTTTATTTTTTTTGCACACCTCTACTTCCTGGTTTTCAGTGCAAGTGGAAATGCCAAAATAAAACAACTTTGGTTTTGTGGTAGTCCTGACCCTAAGTGAAGAAGGTCACACGGGACATTGCACAAGAAAAATGGTTCTCATGAGATTACCTGACCAGATTTTTAGACTTCAGATCTTTGGAGAGGTTGTGTTCTGAGATACCATGGTGATGGTTCCACTGTTCATGCTCTGATCCCACTGCCCCATTTACAGAATAGAATGGTTGGGATTAGCGTCAATGAAGTACCCAGACTTTAGCTTTCTTGTCTCAGCTGAACCTCCAAATCTTTTCTGAGGTACACTCATTACATTAAGTAAACTGGGGTAGTCAATAGGTGGACCACAGGCCAAATCCGGACCGCCAGATGCTTTTGAACGGACCCTGAAATCTTTTTATTTACTTATCATTGTTGTTTTTTTTTCCAGTTATTTTCTCTGGAGTCTGGACCTTGACGATACCTTGACCAAGAAATTTGGACTTGACAAAAAATGATTGATTAACCTTGACTTAGTAAACTATGGGCACCAGATGGAGCCTGTAAGGGCAGCAGGGACCTGCAAAATGAAAGAAAAGAAGCAGAATTTCATGAACTACAGCAGTGTAACTGAACTATGAAATATAGTAACATTATTTTAAAACAAAAATATTGCTCCATATGAGGGCTTTTTAGCCGATGGAGGGCACAAGTGTATTAAATAGTACAAGGTTTAAACCTGGCAACCTACTTTGAAAGTTCAGCAATAAGTTTGTGACTCTCAAACCATCACCCTTAAAAATTCCTCTGCCATGAAGCCTATAAAAACACTTGATAATGGTTAGGCCACTGGTGCTGACCAATATTTTTACTGTTTCCTTGTACTCCTCCTTCTGTCTGTCTGCATCCATATGCTGTCTCTTTTCTTGTAGTTGGAATGAAAGGTCTTCGGATTTGGCACCATCTTTTCCTTCTGCATTGTACAGCACCTAGCACGATGTGGGTGTGATGGGTTCAGTCACAGAGACCCCTTGGGACTGTTACCTGATGTGCTGAAATTACCTCTGAGCCCATTTTCATGCCAGCTTGGTACTGCCAGAACCCTGCCTTGTTGATCCAGACATGCTAGTCTGCTGCAACACAGACCCAGGGTCTGCTCCGTGCCCCCAAAGCTGCAGACTTAACTGAAAACAGCTCAGCAGGTTACCTGTCTCCAGCACCCAGACACCCAGTTCCTAATGGGATCCAAATCCCAAATAAATCCATTTTACTCTGTATAAAGCTATACAGGGTAAATTCATAAATTGTCCACCCTCTGCACAGCTGTTTGCCCCCTTCCCCCACCCCCAGGTATTAATCACTTACTCTGGGTTTATTAATAAACAAAAGTGATTTTATTAAGTATAAAAAGTAGGATTTAAGTGGTTACTTTGTTCTGTCTGTTATTACTTGAAAGTCACCAAGCAAAATAAAGTAAAAACACGCAAGTCTAAGCCTAATACATTAAGAAACTGATTCAGGTAATATCTCACCCTCAGAGATGTTCCAATAAGCATCTTTCACAGACTAGACTCCTTCCTAGTCTGGGCCCAATCCTTTCTCCTGGTACAGTCCTTGTTAGTTCCAGCAGACATCTCAGGTGGTAAGCAGGGGTTTTCTCATGAGTGGCCACCTCTTTTGTCCTGCTTTCCCCTCCCCCCCCTTTTATAGCTTTGGCACAAGGCAGGAATGTTTTGTCTGTGCTTGTCCCCACCCCCACCTCATCAATGGAAGAGTACAAGGATTAAGATGGATTCCAGTATCATGTGACATGGTCACATGTCACTATAAGACCCCTAGTCTCCATTCTCCCTGGGTTAGCCCACATGTACACAGGAAGAAGTGCAGGTAAATAAACCATTTACAACCAATTGTCTTAGTCAATGGGACCCATCAAGATTCTAAACCACCATTAATGGCCCACACTTTGCAGAATTACAGTAGGACCTCAGAGTCATATTTCATATTTCTAGCTTCAGATACAAAAATGATACATGGATATAAATAGGAGGAATATATTCAGTAGGTTATAACCTTTGTTATGATACCTTACAAGAGACCTTTTTCATAAAGCATATTCCAGTTACATCATATTCACACTCATAAGCATATTTCCATAAAACATATGGAGTGCAATGTCACAGTGGGCTTGGTGAGTATATGTACCAAGTATATGTACCATGATTAGGCCTCTTAGGTGCTACAATAATACACATAATAAAAATTCAGTTTTGTTTCTTTTTAAATTTTATATTTTTGTTTTACAGTATAAACATGAGATAGGAATATATCCAATCTCCAATATATGCAATGAACATTTACAGTAACACAGGACAACCGCATCCTCGTAT